CGTGTCTGGCCCCAGGCACCGAGGCCCGGGAGCCGCCGGTCGAGAGGCGATCACCCCGCCCCAGCGACCGGAGGAGCAAGGTCCCCCGGGTTCGTCAGGCAGGCATCGATTTTCGGCGGGCGTCATTCGTACGGGCGAGCAGCTCGGCTGAAGCTGTAGCCAATACTGGTTATTTCATTACAATCCCATTCCAAGGCTCAGCAGAGGAAACAGCTCAGAGGGAAGAGAATACAGCGAGGAGAAGAGCGAGTGCGTATTCTCACCCTCACACCCGAAGTCTCGACCACGGAGTGCGTCCTGCCCTGTGACCCCCCCAGCTAAACCCCTCACCTGCTGCGGCTCCTCCGGCCCGACGCGCCCCACTTCTTCTGCCTTCCTCCCGTCACGGTGCTCGCAGCGCACGCTCGGCTCTAGGACGCGTTCTCTACAGCGTTATCCTCTCCCTATTTCCACACACTACAGCTTAACGCTAGGTATACGTTTAACTTACAAGTGAGCTTTCTTCTTTGTTGCAGCAGGTAGGACATTTTGGCTGTTCAGGGTTTTTTTCAGGGGGATGTTGGGTTTTTTTGTTTGCTTGCTTGAGGTGGGGGTTGTTTGTTTTGCAGATTTAATACAGTATTTTCTCATTTACCTCTTTAGATCAGTAACAGGTACAGTAGTAAGGTAAGCAACCATTACATTCATTAGCCCTTGATTTCAGTTTGTACTTCTTTAGCAAAAGTTCTGATTCATCCTACCACAGCTCTAAGAGAAGATGTGAAACCCATCCCAGAAATAAGGAAGTGAAATAGCTAGTAGATCTAACACATAAGACAGCTACTGCACTTCACCTCCCTCTCTCCCTTTATTTTTCCTGTCATTAGTCGCCTTGTAAGTACGTAGGTTTAGGATAGGAAACAAATGCAGCTCCTTAAAATGCATCTTCTTTTTTTTTTTTTTTTTTTTTTTTAAAGGCCAGCTTTGTTCTACGGCCCTTGTTTCCCTGAATTGGGTTCACAGTTCTTCTGAAATTCAGAGAGGCAAAACTACAAATCACAAGTCACACACATCGCCTCTCTTGGATTTTCTGCCCTGCCTACGTTTTCTTTTCCCTGTTAGATGAATCAGAGGAACTCTCCAAGCTGTACTGTTACACAGGACATCCATTACAAGTAAGAATTTTGTATTCTGTTCAGAACTGTCCAGGCAGTATCTGGATCAACTCTTCAAGACCTAGTTTCTGAAAGAGGATTGGAGACATGAACTGCATATAGACTGGTACACTTCATGCAAATTAAAAAGTGTAAGTTCAATAGGTAGTGCTTCTCCAACACTGTGCGATGTCCATCACTTGACGTACCTATACTCATTCCTTTTGTGCTCCTCTGGGTAGGCAGTTACCCTGTCAGTGCAGAAGCCTAACCTCAGTGCCAACTACCAACTTAAAACATACCTTGGGGGTCCTGCTTTAGCCTACATTTGGTCCACCTCTGTCATGTCACCCACTCCAGTTATAAGAAAACCAAGACAGAGCAGCAGCTTAACAGGACTATTGACCACAATGCAAAATCTACACAAAGTTGGCAGGCACAGTTATCTAGAAGTTAATCATAACTATCACCTTTTTTTAAACACAGAAAGCAAGAAAGTTGGCCAGTATGCTGAAGCTCAGCAGTTGCTGCTTCAGCTGACAAAAATAGCTGTACACTCATGATACTACATTTTTTTCTTTAAGATGATGAAGTAACAAAGTAGACATGAAGAGTTCACATACACACACACAAAAAAGACTGCAGTTCTCAGGAAGCCCTTTATTAAGTCAAGGCATTAAAGGAGAAACTACTGTTATTCACCATGCTTCTCATCTCGAGGTGGTTCATACAGAGCCAGCTGTGGATTTAAAGAGAGGAATTTAGTTAGCTGCAACATTTCAGAGACAGTTTCTACATTAAGAAATGTAGGAAGATGTTTGCTCTAGAAGCGTTCCATTTACTTTGTGCATTTTAATCACTGATATTTATGCAAGTCCATTTTCAAGTCAGGCAACAAAGTAATCCTTCCCTCAAAACATCAAATTTGTCACATCGTATAATCATGGAGCTCTACCAAGTGGGCTTTTTAAAATGTGCTTTCAAACATATACGTCTTGCCCAGATTTTTGCCAGTTTCTTGTTCTAGGTCTCGTTAAGTACTTTTCATCTCAAGTAGCAGCTAATAATGATCGGCACCTTGTAAGCGTTGATTTCACTGAAATATGATTAATTGAAACAGTCATTCTCATAGCACCAAACTAACACTTCCTGTAATCATTCTAGCTTTCATTATGCATTTTGGAGTGTATAGTCTAGGCAACTATGCACTGAAGCATGACCTTTACTTGCAAGGTTATTTCCAAAGAAACAAGTGAAGGCATTTACTTGACCTCAGTTGCATTAAAGATAAGGTCAAGCTTCAAAATCAGTTCAAGCATTAGGACTGAGCCTCTGAAATATGCCAGTCCAGTTTTCTTAATAAAGATTTTTTTCCCTTCTCCTGCAAATTGCAGAGTAAAAATAAAGTACATGAAAAAATTAAAATACCCATGTGTTCCTCATAGCAACACTAAATTACAGCAATCACGATGCCAATAACAAGAACCACTAAAATAGCATTTTGTCATTCTTGTAGATTTTACCACAACAGATGACAAGTACACAATCCAAAGCCAATCTTCTTTTCCTCAAAGGGCCTAACTATTGACTTCCTGTCCCCCGCCCCACCCAATACCTGATATTCTGACCAAAAACTGTAAGGAAAAAAACAGATCTTCCCAGACAAATGCAACAACAGAACACTACCTATCTGGACATGATTCGAGTTATCAATAAATGCATAGTTAAAGGCACGTATTTTATGCTAGAGGACTGCTAAAAAGGAAAATAGAAATGGTAGTGTTCTCCCTGCATTCTGTCCGTGAGAACTACAGTACGTCAGAATGATGGGCAGAAGATGGTAGGGGAAAGAAAGGGAAAAAAACCCAAAACATTAATGATGGAAAACATGTGAAGTTAAGAGTTATCATGTGAAGGCTGAAGAAGATGAGAGCACAAAACCCCCCCTGGTTATAGAAAGGCTTACTTTCCTGGAACAAGTTTTGACTTCTTTAGAAGATTTCTTTAAACAAAGACCCAGGTTACTCTGCTTTCATGTGTCTACTTACTATCGGTTGCATTTTTAAGTCGGCTATGCCAAATGAACTGCGGGTCTATTGCTAGTCTCCCTAAAGTTCTGCTCTTTGCCATATTTCCTAGTAAGAAATAACAAATGTAGCTGTAAGGACTCACAATGGGTAATAGAGAAGGAGAATTACTAGGACAGCAAGAGGGCAGTCTGGACAAGAAATACAAATGGGTAATGCCCAAGAACTCCCAAAACTAAGGTGAGCTGGTCGTCTAGCAGTGAAAACCGTATGGGGATGTTCATGTGTAACAGCAGCCATCCTGTTCCAACAAATGCATCGAAACATATAGCAGCACATAAACTACTAGATTATTAAGGTTCTTAAAGGTTTCCTTCTTCAGCATTGTTAGGTTTACATTCAGTGCCCTCTCCTAAGGGGAAGTTCTTCACGTCTCAGGGCTGTTTCAGACAGCCTGTAGATGCATTAGCCTGTAGATGCATTAAAGAATGGCTCTGCCTTAGCTAGCATTTCAGATCCACTGTTGTTGCAGATAGAGGAATACCAAGGTCGTTTTAGCTGAAAAGTGCAAGTTAACCATTCCACGTGGATACGAGTGCCTCCACTGGTAACATTCTGACACAAGTCTGTACCAGGTCAAACAAATTAATATATAATATTCCTCCTTTGCCTTGCTATTTGAAAGGCTTTATAATAGATATATTAGCTTTTTTCTTTTTCAAAACTCTTGTGAGCTACATAATAGCAGACAACTTAAACACATCCACACAGGACTGAACAAAGACATGGGATTAGCCTCGATAACATTTACTTTCACTAAATAAATAAAATCCCTAGTTTAGCAATACCATTGCATGTTACAGAATATAAGAAGTATCCCACTAAAAAAAAAAAATCATGAGGCCAAACAGTGCAACATTTATTGGTTACTCTAATGGATCAAAGTTAGCTGTATTCTAAGTATTAAAGTATTCTACTTATTGCAGAGTATGAAACTACTGAGGAAGACTAAGTATACTTTTACCTTGGTTTTCAGTTTTTTATTTTCTTCCAATACAGCTTCATATTTTTCTTTCATCTCTGCCACTTCCAAGCGAAGTGCCTCTATTTCTGGATTCTCAGGAGCTGAAGCTCCCAGGTGATGCTTCAGAAAGCTGATATTTAAATGTTAAGTATTCAATTAGATAGCATAACCACATTTTAGTTTTAGCACTTATGAAGTTAGTGCAGCAATACATGTGACTGAAATTCCATTAAAACACTTAAGATTACTGTAGTGCTCTTCATCCTACAGGATGAAATTACAAAAAAAGAAAGCTTTTCATGTTATCAGTACACTCCTAAAAAACCCCATCAGTACACACAGGACAAATTCTCATGTTTTACTACACCCTCCTCTCCTTTTCCTCTCTTAAACACATTAGTTTGGAAGACTTAAAAGGTTAATAACCAAAAAATAGAAGCAATAGCCAAAAATAGCTTAAAAGCAGCAAGAAAAAAAAAAAGTTAATTTTTCCCTCTCTTGTATTATTAAAAAAAAAAAAAGGAAGTGTGAAGAAGCTGACTTCAGAAGCCACAGATACTGTAAGCACTCAAATCTAATGCTGCATGTCTGCAACATTCTCTAGTGGCCTATAACTTAACTTTGTAATTACTGGCATACCAATATGCATAGTTGTCTTGCATCCTGTCGGACTTTCTTATCACTTGTAAGAATACGATTATTAGTTAAAATGCATCCATAAAATCCATGTTGTCAATGTAAGTCTTCTAAACAAGCCTACCCAGGTCACCAAAGAGTCAGAAGATGGACTGCTGTTTTGTGTGAAGTCTCTATGAAGAATTCACAGAAGAGAAAAAGGATACTCCAGTGCACTATTTGGTTTCTCTGGCTCTTCATATAAGGCTACCAACACTGCAAATAGAAAATATTCAACAATTGCAAAAAGTTCATGCAACTCTAAGTTCTTAACAAATGTACCAAGAGTGAGAAGGCATACAAGTTACATGCCACATTTCACAAGATTTTCATTTATACACTTTGACATAAACAATAGGTCTGCTGCACAGGAGGGAACAGAGCATCCCACCCAGTAACAGCTAGACAGAAGTTCTGTTGATCCCCTAACCACAGTCTTGGCTATTCTAGCACAGAACAGCCAAAACAATTTTTACACATTCCACATGCAACCCTAGTATTGGCTTTCATCAACATAGTTAGAATTTCAATTTTGCTGAGACATTCCCTTCATAAGCCATTACTTCCACTTAAGCTACATCTTTGAACATGCAGGACAACATCAGCACTTCTGTAACTTTCAGCATAAAAGCAAACCTCCAGCAAACACCTACACTGACAATACTAAATGGCTACCATCAGAGTAGATGACACCAATCATCTTTATGGACTGGGGTCTGTAGCAGCCAATGGAGTGCTAAAGAGGTCAGGCACAAGCAACAGTACCCTGGCAGCTTACATAAAACTAGCCATACACATACCGACTCCGTATCTGGAGAAGTCAGTCACGGGAATACTCAAAGTTCTCAAACATAACCACTCCCCCTTCCCCACAGAGGCAGACAGACGATGGCTATAGAAGATGTCTGCTTTCATAAATACTTAGATGACCTTCTCCCAGTTTTAGATGTCTGAAATGCACAGCCAAATTCATTTTAGGGTAAAGACATAATTAAAACCAAAATTAGGATGCTATTATGCTGCTTAGAAGACTTGTTTTGCCATCCTAGTAGGATGCTTAGCATGGTGATCAAAAGAAATCAAATGCTAGGCCAAGAGTCTTAGCGTGGCACCTATTCACCTGACATCCAAGATCTGCTGCTCCCTCTTTAAACAGTATATTTTTCCAGCAGGAATATTAACAGATTTTCTCCACATACGATTGGAAGGCTCTCAAGAAGATTTCAGAAGGATTGAAAACCTGCTACTCCATACATCAAGCCAAAGCATGCATCAAGTTTAGTATCATCATTTTCCCATTCTGATACATAGTCACTCTCACAAAACTTACAGGTTTGTTAGTTTTTGGAGAAGAACTGAGCTCTACTCAAGAAGAGCAGAAGCTCTACTCAAGAAAGGGCCTTTCAAACAGTTTTTAAGAGCACATTTGCTGTTATTTTGCCTCAAACATTTACTTGCCCTGGAGAGCTCTGGCAGAAAATAACAGCACCCAAGGAATTCCGCTCTTTCCAAAAGCAAGCATAGAGAAAGGCCATTTGGCCGAGTAAGATCTCCAACACACCACGTAGTGCTGTCGCCGTTCTTACGGGTCTCTGCCACTCCTGTTTCACACGCGTCTCTAACAGTCGACCCCCTGGCACGACAAACGTGCGAACCGCCAGAACGGCGTTAACGCACCGCAGTTCGCAGGCCGCGGTTCCAAGAGGTCCCCTGGCCCCTCACCCCACGCCGTGCGCGCTGCCCGGCTCGGACACGATTCCGAGGGCCGCCACGCAGACTGAGAAGGAGCGGCCGGCTCGCCCAGGCAAGGAGCCGGCGGGGAGCGTCGAGGCAACCCGAGACGCGGCGCGAGATGCCCCGAGGGGAACGGCCTCTGCCCGCAGAAGCGCCCGAAGAGCCGCCGACTTACCCTTGGTGAGCGTGTCCAGCACCCCCGACTTCTCCAGGTACCGGCGGAACTGCTCCCGCTTGGAGTCCGCGCCCTGAGGGAGGACGCCCACACGGTGAGA